CTCTGGAAGCATACAACTAGCTGTGGTTGATGGATGTAATTAGACATGGGGATGAATATAAAAATGAATCAAGATGTTTGTTAAATATCCCTGATTCATCAGATATTCATTGCTTCATATTCGTTGGGGTCCAGAGACCCCAACAAATAGGAAGCACCAAATATAACCCTTTTATATTCATCCCGTCATTCCTTCAGCTGTTCCTCAGGGGCATAAGCGGAGAGGGATTTTCCCTCCTGGCAGCTTGCTACAGCCTGCCCAAAGGGAATCCCACCCCTGGGACTGGGGGATGGCTTGGTTCCCCTTTCCTCCCCTTCCTATGCCCACGTGGCATAAGAAGAGGAGTGAAAGGATCAAAGAGGGATCAAAGGGATCCTCCAGCTGCTGCGGGGCTTAGCAAGAGGAGGAGGAAAGGGATCAAAGCGCTGCATGATAACTTTGATCTCTGCTTTCCTTCCTCTTGCTATGCTGCATGGGGCATAGCAAGAGGAGGGAAAGGGGGAGGATGACCTGATGAATGACGAATTGATTCATTGTTTGTCAGGTCACTGGGGGACAATTTGTGATTCAGGGGTCGTCAAGTTTGATGATCCCTGAATCAAGACGAAGTCCCCATCTCTAGATCTAATCATTGCAAATTCTGTGAAACAACTCCAGAGTCTTCAAGGTAATACTATATGTTGCTCTGTTTATTGGTTCCTTTCCCTTTGCATAAGTGCTTGTCCAGATGGGAATTCGGAGTGTTGCTCTGTTTATTGGTTCCTTTCCCTTCGCATAAGTGCTTGTCCAGTCAGGAATTCGGAGTGGTCTGCTTCTCATTTAAAAGGTTTTTATTTTCAGTGCAATCTATTTTCTCTCATACTTGAGCAATCCTTCTGTTTATACTGGAGATGTCTGTTCTGTGACAAGAGTCCACATAAGTAGATTGCCAGTTTACTTGAGAGTAGGTTTACCTGGTTTACTTGCAAGTAACTTTGCCTAGTTTCCTTGCAAGTACAGTACAGAGACAGCAGTGGCAAGGCAAGCTCACAACAATGGTACTGGCATGAATCAAAAACGTTGGAGTTAAGGTTGGAGTCAGGGAAGGGAGTTTTCTTCAGCCAGGGCTCTGCTGGGGCTGTGCTACCTTGAGACGGCAGAGCCCATGCAGTTGACATAGCCCCTGTCCCTACTTTTCTTGCAGCTGTCATTCAGCCATCTGCAATTGCTTTCTTTTCTTTTCTCTTTTGTTTATTAAAGTAAGTGGTGTATTGAAAAAGAAATGCACCAACCTAGCATGGTATTAGAATGGCACTGTGTCAGTTAGGGAATTTAAAAAGAAGAAGAAGAAGAAAATAGTGAAGGCGTATGGCCTTTGCCCTCGTGGCCCCTGCTTGTTTTCCCAACCACAGAGCTCACAAGGTACCTCAGCACACCCTCTGATACGCTATCACCAGTTGATCTCTTTTATCAACCTAGTTTACTTAGAAAAGACAAAGGTCCGTCCAGTACTGATGTTTCAACAGAACAAGTTTATTAATTACAGATGGTTTATGGAATAATTCATAAGCAAATTCTTCAAGATTCATCAATCATCAATATTAACCTACTCTAGTAATTATCACAGGTTACACTCTAACTAATAACTCCTCCGGCGCCCAAACTATCTTTCTCCCTCTGAGTCCAGACTCCGACTCTCTCCTCTCAGGCTCCGCCTCTGAACATCTCTTTCAGCCCCGCCTCTTAACCACATTAACATATAACATGAATAATGCACAACTTATACTGCATAACTTAGGGTGAATGCTACAAGGGAGTTTTTCTATCTTCCTTTTTAAAGCCACAACACGCCTAATGCATCACAAGGTTGTCACATCAGATAATGCTGTCCACAGCTCCATAGCAAGCTAACCATCAACACAGGTACAAAATGAGCTAATTAGGGTCATGCTGAATCATACAAAAAACAAAACAAAACAAAACAAAAAAACAAAAAAAACCACTGTACCAGAAAGATGTGTGGCAGTTCTTAAAGGGGCTGGATAGATTTATCTAAGTGGAAACACACGTGGATGCCATAATTTGCTTCTCATTAAATTGTACGAACAGCAGTGTATATACTGATCTACATGCCAGCTTGAATAGGCCCTAAATCAAAGTTACTAGGTATCAAGGCAGTAATGATGGGAGAGGAGGAAGTGAATAGTGTCAGAGTTGCAGAGTTTTGGAAAACTACCACCCCTTTTTTTGGGGGGGGGGACTATAATTCCAAGATTAGTTATGCCAGTGGTTCCTAGGAGTTGGAGTTGCAGAGTTTTGGAAAACTACCACCCTTTTTTGGGGGGGGGACTATAACTCCAAGATTAGTTATGCCAGTGGTTCCTAATTATGCCTAGTGGTTCCAACATTTCAAACCTCTTCATGATTGGCCATTTTGCTGCTTGAAGAAAATAACAAGTCGGCAGCTCATCCCCCATTTATTTATAACTTCTAGAATCCATCTCTTCCAGTTACTGAATACTTGCGATGTCACGATTTCCTTCACCACGCATGGAGGCTGGCAGGCTGACGTAGGCAAAACAGGGCAGATGAGTTTAGGAGACTCAAGGGAAAGTGCTGCCCCTCTGCCCAAAATGTCTGTCACCTGATCATGCCTTACCTCACTTTGACTAATGGTAGAACCAGATCTGAGTGTACAGAGTAAAAACTGGTCTTCAACAATGTTAAAGGAGCACTAGGTTTGTTTTCACTGGAGGATTCTCCTTCATCTCACCATTTCATGAACTAATGATATATTTTCAGAACAAGCTGTTTTCTGAGGGTTTTTTTTTGATGGTATCTTTGGTGGAGTTAACTACTTGGGAATTTCTTCCTCTTCTTCTCCTTCTCCTCCTTCTCCTTCTCTTTCTTCAAATGGGATTTCTTCTCCTTCTCCTCCTTCTCCTTCTTCTCTTTCTTCAAATTGGATTTTAATAATTACCCAGTAAGTTTGAAAAATATAGGCTCACAAAGTATTTTATAGAAAATCTCCATACGCCCATGAAAAGAGATCGGCACAGCTTCTATATGCTGGGTTAGATTTAGAATTTGAGCTGTACAGTTCTTGCCAGGTCAAAAGCCTGCCCTGGAATTAGAAGAGGATTAGTTTTAGGGTCTAGACAGTTTAATGTCATTTGTTCAAGCACTTTGTATAAGTGGCAGAACAGAGAGATTGGCCTGTAGATTTTGGAGTCTGATGATTAATTGTGATGTGATTACATTAATCTTCCGCCATATTTTAGGAATTTGTTTGCTCATCTAGCAGTTATTAAAGAGTTGAAGGAGCCATTCTTTTGTGAACTGTTGGATAGGTAACTCAGTGGTTTAGGTTTGGTTGGGGGGGTCGATTCCCCAGTGTGCCTTCTTGGCAGGGGGGGGGACTTGATCATCCATAAGGTCCCTTCCAGTTCTGCAGCTCTAAGATTACTTTGCCCAAAATGTTTTATTTCCTCCAGTAAGATATCACTGAGTACCACTGCTTTGCATTCCTACATCTTCTTATGGCTTCCCCTAGCTCTACCAATATGAGGACAGTAGAAAGTTCATTGAATTCACTCTGAATATCTCTGTAATGTTTTATTTTTCTTATGCATTGGTTGATCTTCCCAGCCAGGAGCAGTTGGTATGCTATTTGGTTGGGGGTTATATTTGTATATGGTGTCCTTTGGTTTGGATCATTGTTCAGACTTTTCAGTAGTCTCCAAACTCAAGTTTATCAAGTTTACTTAGGTTTAGTAACCTATAGATCATACACCTTGTAAATTTTTGGAGTTTAAAAATGCATTAAAAGAAAAATTTGCCACCTCTACAGCACAATTTTTACAGAGGTTGCTCAATAATAATTTTAGTCTTCAGGCTTCCAAGAAGGATGAACATTTCAGTAGCCATTTTTAAAGGAATTTCTATCTTGCTGTTTCATATTTCAGACAGTATAGTTTGTTTGTTTGTTTGTACCTCCCATCTGGCCAAAGAAGATGTGGGAAAGCATATCAAGTTCTAACAGGGGACAGTCACAATAACATTGGTTATTGTGTATCTTGGGAAATCGTCCCCTCATTTGAGCTGTTGGAAGTGCATTGCAACCAATGATTACATATGACTGCCTTAGCTTTAGAATTATATGTAACACGCACACACAAAGACAAAAATGTGGTGGCACCTTAAAGACTAAATTTTATATTTTTTTTAATGTGACATTTCATGGACAAGTCTACACCATCAAACTTAGCTTTGGAACTGCCAGTATATTAAGATAAAAAGACAGATCAAATTGGGTGGAATATCTAATTCCCAGGTAGAGTGGGGAGCATTTCTGTCTAGCATCCTCTTGAAGGGTTTTCCAGTCTTGTTTAATCAGTTTTCTTATAACTAATCTTCACCTTCTTTTGTTTAAGTCTTATATTTTCCGTAAGCCCAGCATGCTTGCTTTCATGTCTACAGCATCATATCATTTTGACCAGCAGTGATCCTGTGTTGCCAATGCAGTAAAGGCTGGTAGATATGCTGCACATGTTGAAATCTTTGGAGTCCCAACTCAAGCTGTATCAGGGTCAACTCAGATGCAATACATGGTGGCAAGGTTAATATTTTGCACAGAAAGACTAACTAGAGTTTCTTAAGTTGTTCTGTTGGACCCCAAAACCCGATCTGGAAGCCATACAATGAAAGTGGCAGTACTTGAATTTTGTATGCCTTCAAAAATGCAGGTGCACATTATGGAAGAACTTCTTCAGGGCTACCATGGCTAGTTCAGCTTTGTGCTTAAAATATTGAATGTGCTTGAACCCTGTTAGATTTGGTTGACATATTATCTCCAGGTATTTGAACTTGTTGACCTATTGTAATTTGTATGCACCGATGTTCCATCTTTTGTTTGACAGCCTTGCTGACTTTGTAAATACCGTAGTTTTTTATTTGTCCTTGTTTATTTCTAGTAACTTTTAATTACAATAGTCAACAAATGCTTTACTGGTATGTTTTAGACCAACTGGAGTTCTCGGAAGCAGAACATGATTGTCAGCATACACCAGGACAGGCACCGGTAGATTTCTCAGACGTGGAGTGTGAGCGGAGATGCTTTGTAGGCCTGGGATGAAGCCATTTAGATACAGCTTAAATAAATGAGATGCAAGAAAGCAGCCATGCAGAACACTTCTTTGTACAGGTATAGAATTTGATACAGATCCCTCGTAGTTTAATTTAACACATAGGGTATTGCCAAAGTAGAGCTTTTACTGTAGGTTTATTAAAAGGATTTTCTTCAAAGTCTGAAATATGATCTAAGTATTGGGCACATGTTTCTGGAGTGAGACCAGGAATGTATTTGGTCCAGCACCCTCTTGGAATGGAACAGAAGTTACAAATTGATCATTGTTCTCTGGTTGAGGGGCAGTTTACGGCAGAGCTGTATTCATCATTCTTGTAAACTAGAGATGGGCACACATTAAAAAATGAATTACTAAATTCTTTCATAAAATCACTAATGCATCAATTCATATTTGTATGAATCAATGCCCCCAACAAATATGAATCAATGAATTTTTAGTGCTTTTTGATTTGCCAATTCATTTGGCCATAAAATGGCTAACCAGCACCTAGAGACACCCTTTAGCAGCTAGTACTTTCCTGGAGGACCCACTTTATGGGTGTATAACTTGAATATCTGAAACTAGTCTTCACCAAACTTGGAGGGTTTATAGAGGAGAATCAGAGGAAGCTCATCTGCGATTTTGATGTATCTAGGTGCTGGGGGGAACATTCCTGGGGACTCCTTTTTGTTGGTGTATTACTTGGATATGTGACACCCAATCTTCACTAGGCTTGCAGGGCTTATAGAGGAGAGTTAAGGGAAGCACCCCTGTGAATTTGGTATCTCTAGGTGCTTTGGAGACTATTTTAGAGGTTATTAAATTTAAAAAATGAATTGACAAATTGATTCATTGATTCATCCAAAAAAAACTTTATGAATCACAAATCAAATTAAAACAAATCATTTTTCTGATTTAAGAGATATTGAATGGGATTTTCCCTATTTTATAACAACTTATAAGTTCATAGCTCTAAATATTGCTATGGCTATTGAAATCTCCAATAGAAAGTGAGTGCTTTGGTTTTTGCATATTGGAGAGCTTCTTAAAGCAGAATGGTGTTTTAGGTGGTTTATAAATCTATGTGACTATACATACAGCAGTTCAGTCATCCATTATTTTATGTTGTCCCTTTTCAGCAAGATAAAGCACCTTGCCACACTGCCAGAATTGTTCAAGAATGGTTTGAGGAACATGCCAAAGAGTGCAAGGTGTTGCCTTGGCCTCTAAATTCCCCAGATCTCAGTCTAATTGAGTGTCTGCCAGATGTGCTGGAACACCAGATCCATGGAAGCCTCACCATGCAACTTGCAGGACTGAAAGGATCTACTGCTAATGTCTTGGTACCAAGTACCACAGGAAACATTCAGAGGTCTTGTAGAGTCCATGCCTCAATGCATCAGAGCTGTTTTGGCACATGAGGGCGACCTACTTGACGTTAGGCAGGTGGTTTTAATGTTGTAGCTAGCTGATCAGTGTATGTCAACTGCCATGGCCAAACATCAACTATGTCTGAAATATTCAGACTAACAGAAAAGTTCTGAAATGCATCACATTTTATAAAGTGAATTAAGAGGGGAGGTGAGATTCATTTTTGCTTTGTTCCATTCTTGATCTTGTTCCTGTTTCCAGATCCCAGTTTCCTTTCCTTGTTATTTTAATGTCTTGCCTCAAGCTAATAGACTTAGGGCTGTTCAGGCAGGAAAGGCCCTTCAATTAAGTCCAAAGAGCTCTGTTTTTCCCCTCTAGCATGAAAAATAATAATTAACTTTCACAGTTGGAGAACCACGTGACAGGACAGGCCTTGGACACCAGACCCATTTCCAGTGCCCTGCAGACACACACACAAACATCTATATTGTGTTTGGAAACTTCAGTAACTATTTTTCAAATGACATTTCAAATGCTGTATTGTCACTTGCCATATTTGCCATGATTTCCTGTTTTATTTTTTTTTTAATTTTGCTAATGGCTGCCCAGTTTTACCCAGAGATTCAATGAGATTTTATGTTTTATCCTTATGAAAATGAAGGATGACTATACACTGATTCCAGTTGGATCCCTTGAGATGAGAAATGTCCCTTATCATACAGATATGAGCAGCTGCTGTATCAGTAATGGAGTAAAATACTTAAGAAAACAATTGTACTAAATCAATGCCTTTTTTATTCATGAAAAATCTAACAGTGCATATAGCTTTGAAGGTTTATTGTTGTATGTTTGAGAGAAACACATGCACACAAACACATATGTATGCAGACAGCATTTTCCCTCTACCAAAAGCTGTGACCACACTGTTTAAAAAGGCTGGTGTAGAAAATCATGGGCTGGATAACGAGATACTTTAGAATTTGGAAAAGTTACTTTTTTGGACTACAACTTTTATCCCCCAGCCAACATTGGCTGTGGGGTTTTGGAAGCTAAAGAATCAACTCATTGATTAGCTCATCAGATAATCTTGTTGCTTTTAAATAGTAATAATTTTGTTCCGTCAAGTCAATCCAATTGTTGTTTCCCTGTGCTTTCTTCTGGAGCACTCTAGGACTATCAACCCAGAGTGCACAACACCGTATATATGACCCCCAATGTATAAGACAACCCCCTAATTTTGTCCCTTGCCAGAGGTGGAGGAGCAGTCAATAGGCAGCTGTGAGGGGCGGCCCAGGACAACTGCGCCTCCACCTCCTGCTACTGCTGCCTCCCCTGCCCGATCGCCTCCTCCAGTGCAACTTGCTGGGGCTCACATCCAGCTCATGTTGCCGCCTTGTCCCCTGCCTGAAGAGAGCCCGGGAGTGGCACTGGAGGAGGCGATCCGGCAGCAGCAGTCATTGGGCAGCCGTGAGAGGCAACCGAGCGCGGCTGCTCCTTTGCCTACACCTCCTTCCATGTACAAAATGATCCTCAATTTTTCCTCTAATGATTTTAGGGGGGAAGTATCATTTTATACATGGAAAAATACGGTATTTTTATTTTATTTTCATTTTTTAGTTCCATCATTGATCTGGCAATGTTCCATTGTTTATGTGGTAAAATTGTTTTTAGAATACTTCTCCATTCTGATTATGTGTATTTATTGTAAACTGCCCAGAGCAGTGCTCCAGTGCTAATGGGAGTGGTGTACAAGATGAATGAATGAATGAATGAATATTAATCAATCTTTGAGCACTTAGAAAAGGACACTGTGATATGTAAGACTCAGCATGAGTTTTTCAAAACAAGTAATGCCAGACTATTCTTCTCTCTCTCTCTTTTTTAAATAGAGTCACAAGCTTAAGGGTGGACTGGTGTAGTTGTAGTCTATTTGATTTCAGCAAGGCTTTTGACGAAGTCCCTCATTATATTCTTGTGTCCAGGCTTGTAAAATATGTGCTAGATGTTCTACAGTTAAGTTGATTTGTAGATGATTAACAGGCCACACTGATGGTCACCAGTGGCCCATCATTATCCAGGATGGGAGAGACAAGTGAGATGCCACAGGGTTTTGTCCTGGGCTTGATGTTGTTCAATATCTTTATAAATGACTTGGATGAGGGCATAGAGGGGATGCTCATTAAATTTGTAAATGACACCAAACTCAGAGGAGTAGTTAATATACCAGAAGACAATGAGGATTCCAAATGACCTTACCAGGTTAGAGAACTAGGCCAACATAGATAAAAAAGCATTTCAGCAAGGAAAAATGTAAAGTACTGCCCTTCAACAGGAAACATCAGATGCATCAGTATAGGATGGCTGAAAGCTGGATTGGAAGTAGTACATGTGAAAAATGCAGAAAAGATTGGCAATATTTCTGGATTTCATTGTGGAAATAAAGTTATCGGTGGCTATTTGACTTGCTGGCAGCTAAGAACCAAACTAGAAGGAATATTATTATGCAAATGGATTTTTAAAAAGAAAACTGAAGGGGTACAATCCAAATTATGCTAAGACATAGAGAGGCTTACACCTTTAATCCTAGAGGGATCCTGTAAACAGAAGCAGGGAGAGGGTGTGCGTACACACACACACACACAAAGAGAGAGAAATTGACCCTCCTGCACCTGCAATTCATTTTTCAAACCAATTGCAAATACTGATTGCATAACTCGTGTTGCAAGTGCATTAACTGCATGAAACACTAGGCACAAATGGTAATGGCATGATCCATTGTCTATTTGGGACTTAAGGCAAAACTCCTAAGCTAACTTAATGGCTTCAAGTTTGGGAAAAGCACATAATGTTGATGGAAAAATCGCGTAGACTAATCTGATTCTGTATGTGGGAGCAGAAGGCATTTTGTCCTTCACTTCAAATAGCAGAACATTGTGGGCCTTTCTTGGGAGGCATATTCAGAAAATACTTCAGTTTTGCCATGGAAGGCTTTATTCCTTCTATTAGAACAAGCCTTACTGAACAAACAAAAAATGTATTCAGGGGAATAATTGTTGTCATTTTCAGCAACTTCCTACCCCACTCCCTAGAAAATCAGAAGACATTTGTTTGCTTGTATCTCATTCTATTCCAGTTTTCAATCATTTTTCACCCCCAAACTCAAAGAATGGACTTGTTGAGTTCTTAATTAAAATGGCAAAAACAGACTTACACTACTTTAACAGATTCAACCCTTGACTTTACACACATACATTTGTATTGCGATTGTGCTTATGTAGCATCAGTTTCTCCATGAGGTGTATAGACACTGGAGTATGATAAGAAGGAAAGAAGGAAATAATCACAAGAAAATTTTGAAAATAAATACACTGGGAGCCAAAGGACTCTGAATATTAAGGGCTTTCAGATTAGCACATGAGATAGCAGCTTCTGTCCACCCAAGCTGCCTGGAAAACTGCTTTTGAAACTCAGAGGACTTGTGAAAACAGATTACAATATGGTATAGAAGTACAGCTGTGTTGTTGAAAAGTAAAACTAAAAAAAATCAACTTGCCACAACTAAACCAAAGGGCATCTTTCTTCGGCTTCCAATAATTGCTTTTCCTGATTTTTTTTTTTAAGTGGGATCACAGTTGTGGTCCCTAAAGGAGTCTGGGAATTGCCCAATCCAAGCAGAGGGTGAGAGGCTGGGTAATGCTGCCATAATGGTCCTTTGAAATAGTGATTATTTAATGACTGAGAGCCAAATCAAACTTTAGAGGAAACAGGTTTTTCCTGTTAGTGTAATGCCTTTCCTCTTGGCACACAAATCAGAGTTCCTCACCTGCTAATGAACTCTGCACCAGTATAGAAATGATACAGGTTGGTGTAATATGAGGTGTCTATCGACATGTACCTGGATCTCCAAAGGTTACATTCTGTACCAGCTGAAGTTTCTCATTCAAAGGCAGCCCCAGCCCTACATTGAGCACATTACAGTAGTTGACTGGATGGAACTACAGCCTCAAAAACTGAAGCTAGACACACTCTGAAGTTAGCTTTGCACCTCACATACTAACCAAAATTGATAAAACATACTCCTAGCCACTCCCCACACCTGTTTTCCACAGTCAACAAGAAGTCCAGGAAGACGACCAAACTACAAACTTAGTTCTTTAGGCTGTCCAATACTAGCTGAATTCCTCCATTTGTATCAGCAGAATTTCCTGTGCTAAAGTACTTTTTTTTGTACAGTATATATGTTCTCAACTGAAAACTACATCATGTAATGAAGTAAAGTCAAGCCTGAGAGGTATTTCTGTTTTGAGTGCATATTAATCCAGAAAGTTGCAGGCTAGGTCACTTCACTTTAAAATGAAGATTAGACAAAATTATCTCCCATTCTCATAGATAGGTACATTGTTGTTTGTGTGCTGTCGGGTCAATTCTGACTTATATGGAGACCCTTTTCAGTGTTTTCTAGGTCGGTACTACTCAGAAGTGATTTACCATTATCTTCTTCTGGGGGTGCACTGGGAATATGCAGCTTGTCAAGGCCACACAGGCTGGCTCTACTCTCAGGATGCACAGTGAGGAATCAAACTCCCAGCCTCCTAAACCACTGAGCTATATAGCCAGCTAGGTGCATACATCTGATGAAATGGGTTCTAGTCCAAAAAATAAAAATGCCCAAATAAATAATTTTAAGGGATCATAGTACTGTATTATTTGTTTTCATTGCAATATAGACCAAGAGAGCTATACCTTCAGATGCTTGTGTACGTCAAACAAGAGCAGCATATACCAAAAAACCTAAAGAAGAACAAGGGATACATGTCTGGATTTAGCCTTAATTTATTGGCCCTTATCCAGTCCATTATCGAGTCCAGGC